TTACAGAGTGAGACAGTTACATTGATACAACAATCTCCTTGTGTACCCTCCCCCCATTCCTCTCAGTGCTGTATAACAATCTCACCGATACATCTGTCTAGAGCGTCGGGAGTGAGGATAAGCACAAAGTGTTGCGACATCTGTATGCTGTACAGAAGGTTCTCGTCAAATGTAAAAACACCTACACTTAAACCAACCCCTGTTACGTAAATGTAAGCAAGAGGACATGACAACCATAATAAAAAGGAGAAGGTGGAGACAGATTGGAAATGTTCTGAGAAGAGAACCAGACTCTATTGTAAAGACTGCCCTCCACTGGACACCCGAAGGACGTCGCAAAAGGGGCAGACCCAAAGTGACCTGGAGACGCACAGTAGAGTCTGAAATGAAATCCTGGAACCATTCATGGGGGGACGTTGACCAAGATGGCCCAAAACAGACAGAGCTGGAGATCCTTTGTTGCTGCCCTAAACGCCAGATGGCGTAATGGGTAGTAAGTAAGTAAGTAAGTAAGTTAAACCAACCTCCCCCCCCCCCCCCCAATCCCTCTCAGTGCTGTGTGACAATCTCACCGATACATCTGTCTAGAGCGTCGGGAGTGAGGATAAGCACAAAGTGTTGCGACATCTGTATGCTGTACAGAAGGTTCTCGTCAAACTTGCCGGCACGCAGACGGTCGATGTCGAGGAACACGGAGAAACCACGCAGCTGGAGGTGAACCTTGAGCAAACTGGGGACAACACACATCACAGAGTGAGTCCAACACACATCACACGCTCCATTAGATCAACTCACTGGTTTTTCGTAAAGAGTTTTACGTCACTTGCAACGCAATAAGGTCATATAAGTGCCGAAGAATAATTAGTTTAGTTTTAGTAAGTGTTTTATGGCACTTGCAACAAAATAAGGGCATACAAGTGTCGAAGATTAGAGGTGTTACAAGAGAGTAACAAACACAAAACAAAAGGAGGAGAGATCAGGACGACAGATGTTTGATAGGAAAGAAAGAGCAAACCACACCAGAGCACCCGCCAACCACCCACTCACACATTAAGAGAAATGCACACCTCAGAGTCCATTCGTTTTTAGTCCTTTTTAACAATAATAATAATAATAGTAATAATAATAATAATAATAATAATAATAATAATAATAATAATACTTATAATAATACTTATAATACTAATACTAATAATAATTATAATCATAATAATCATCATCATCATCATGGGAATTTATATAGCGCCTAATGCCTAGAAGGCTCTAAGCACTGTTCAATGAAAAATTGTATCTCCACTGATCTGACAAATCAAAAGACATTTGTTTTATTAGAGGTTTTACGGTGCTCGCAACTGCATAAGGTCATATGAGTGCCAAGGGGTGGATGTCAACAGAGAAGTCCTTACAGGGAACCCAACTTACTCTGCTCACCTCTCTAGCCTCAACAGAACAAAGTCTGCTCCGACTATCAAGGCTCACCGGAAATAGCGGGTCACAAGAGTGTGACAAACATACAAAAGAAGTAGAGGAAAATGACAGTAGTAAGGGTAAGGAAAGAAAAAGCAGCAGTTCCCTGTTGTAGATCAGGCTCAGTTACGAGCATGCCGTTGTTAGATCAGCCCATTTACGATTCTACTACGCATTAGAAAGAGAAATGTCCCCCCCCTTTGGGAATGGCCTAAAGACACTACAGTCAGTGGCACCGCCGCGGGGGGTAATCAAAAGATAGAAAATGCACATTGTGTTACCATTTAACAAAACACGTACGCACACATGCACACACACACGCACACACACACACACACACACACACACACACACGCACACATGCACACACACACACGCACACACACACACACAAGGAAATTCCACAGTTTCCGGGCAGAGTCAACCATAGACCCTCAACCCCTCCATGAGAAAAAATACTGGTTTAATTTTCCTCTGAGGCCTCCCGGAAAATTGGAATTTGGGGGAAAAATCCGAGTCTCCAAAAGCCCAGTAGATTTAGAAAAGGTTACAAACTGAAATTTGCAAATAAAAGGGTATAGTAAATACATGCAAATTATCATAAATAAAGATGGGTCTTTTCACACCATTTGCAATAAGTCGCGCAAATTTTGCAAATGGACAACTATAATTATGTCCACATCATTTATGATAAGTTGCATACGACTGATGGAAACCGAATTCAAGAAAAAAATTGGATTTTTTGTTTGTTTGTTTTTGTAAAGTGTTTTACGGCGCTCGCAACTGCATAAGGTCATATGAGCGCGCAGGACACACGTAATATTTTCAGTTGGTAGGAAATTTTGAATTTTGCCCGGGTGGCGGCCAAAGCCTACTCTTATCGATTTTAGACCACCAAGGAATCTTTAACGTGCGCAACTTGCACATGGGCCCTCCGAGATTTTTCGCCCTTGTCCGAGAAGGCTAGGTGTAGATCTTTCCTACCAGAAGATCAGGGGTGTGGCAGAAAGACAGCAGTAGGGAGAAGCCAAGGAGTAGCAGTAGAAAGGCTGCAGAAAGAGTCAGGAGCCCAGAGGAGGGGGCAAAGGAGGTGAGGGGGTGGGGGGCAGAAAGTGGAAATGAAAGCAGACAACAGAACATTGCTAGAGAGCAGGAAATGAGGTGAAAGGAGACAATTTTAGAGAAGAAAATTTTTCGGTCCCTACCCGGATTCGAACCCGGGACTGGATTTTTTTCACATCTGATAGGAGTTCTTCATTCTTCAACTGGCAAAAAAAAACAAAAATAAATCGGGGGGGAAGAGCTCTTATTTTATCGGAGTACTTGGCAGGTCTGCACTCGACATAGTGAGGGCGGGGTGGTGGAGCGGTGTCCGCTCTTACCTGGCCAGCTGAGAGCCGCTGGATCGTCGGTAACAGATGAAGACGTCGATGGATCGCAGGGTGGTCAGGTTAATGCTGAGTCCTGGGTCGATGGAGGGCAGGCCGGGGAGGTGGTGGTGGGGGAGGCTGGGCGTGTCTGGGGTCACTAGCTCTGGCACGCGGGGACACGACAGGATAGAGGTCAGCATAACGTGGTAAATTTTTGTTTTATTAAGCGTTTTACGGCACTTGCAACACAATTAGGTCATATAAGTGCTGAAGATTAGAAGTGTTCCAAGAGAGTAACTAACACAAAAATCTCTCCTCTCCTTCTTTCCCAATCAAACATCTATCTTCCTTATCTCCCCTCTCCTTCATTCCCAATCAAACATCTATCTTCCTTATCTCCCCTCTCCTTCTTCCCCAATCAAACATCTATCTTCCTTATTATCTCCCCTCTCCTTCTTTCCCAATCAAACATCTATCTTCCTTATCTCCCCTCTCCTTCTTTCCCAATCAAACATCTATCTTCCTTATCTCTCCTCTCCTTCTTTCCCAACCAAAAATCTATCTTCCTTATCTCTCCTCTCCTTCTTTCCCAATCAAACATCTATCTTCCTTACCTCTCCTCTCCTTCTTTCCCAATCAAACATCTATCTTCCTTACCTCTCCTCTCCTTCTTTCCCAATCAAACATCTATCTTCCTTATCTCCCCCCACTTTCTTTCTTCCTATGTTACCCTCTCATAACGCCTCAAACCTTCAGCACTTACAATATGGCCTATTTGTGTTGCAAGCGCTGTAAAACTCTTGCTAAAACTAAACCAAACACCGAATTGTCTAGCAAAAGAACAGTTCCTCTCAAAATATATGTCAGTATCAATCAAACTCAGACACGAGTCAGAAATCTCACAACTGAATTAAAATCTTTGTCAAAACTTATCACCTTTACCCTACAATTTGAAAAAAAAAAAAAAGTCAATCCGACAATATTTGATGAATATAATGGAATTTTAAATACGTTAAGAGCAAAAACATTAACAACAACAACAACAACAACAACAACAGCAGCAGCAGCAGAAACAACAACACTAACAACAACACCAACAACAACAGCCCCTCACCCTCCCAGAGGATCTGCCGATGGTGGATCCCACACTCCACCTTAAACAACAACAACAACACCAACAACAACAACAACAAACCACCCTCACCCTCACAGTGCATAGGAGGATCTGTCGTCGATGAATGCTGTTGTGAATCCCACACTCCACCTTGAACAACAACAACAACAGCAACAACAACAACAACAGCAACAACAACAACAACCGCCCTCACCCTCGCGGTGCATGAGACTCTGTCGTCGATGAATGCTGTTGTGGATCCTACACAACAACAACAACCACAACAACAACCACAACAACATCAACAACAACAACAACAACAACCGCCCTCACCCTCGCGGTGCATGAGAATCTGTCGTCGATGAATACTGTTGTGAATCCCACATTCGACCTTGAGCTCCTCCTCCGAGAGCGTCTTGAGCTCAAACTTGTCGACCCCCTGCCGCAGCATCCAGTAAGTGTACTGCGACAGCTCGGGGTTCAAGGACATCAGCCAGTTGTCCAAGGCCGTCGGGTCGCTGATCGAGTAGTCGGCCGTGATCTTCAGGGACTTGAGCTCTCGCGCAAATCTGTGGGGGGGTGAGGGGAGTGTGTGTGTGT